ATCCGTGTTAATGATCCTCAAATCAGAGTTAACGTGATAACCAGTTTCCGAATTGTAATGTCAGCATTTAAGTCATTTGGGAAGTCCGATTTTTGTGACGCTTAACAATTCAGCATTGTTTGCGTCCATGTGTACCAGCTAGTTGTCGTCTTCTCCCCTGCCCTTTGGGTGTGCATTGTGGCATTTCTTGGCACATCTCTGCCACCTGTATAAATAAGATTCATAATAAATACATGAAATAGTGTGAAACTATTTGCAGAAATGTGTATCGCGTCACCCACTTGTGCGTCGTTGAGCATGTGTATGAGATAAACAAACAGCTGACTCATTTAAACACGTCCACAGTGCTACACAGACACATAATAAAAGAACACGGTGCCATACTGTTTATTTTCAATGTCAACCTCTTCTCATTTCCAACCGTCAAATAACACAGCTTGGTTGGTGCTCCTCTCCTCGGCATCAATGCCCATTTAGCGTGTCTATGCAACGCACCGCCCCACGACATTACGGGGAGAGCAACAGGCGTTGTATAAGGAGCGAGACCGTCCAAATGGGGCGGGTAGATGGGTCAAGACATGGCACATGGAGAAATGTTAAAAAGCCGAAATGCATCAGGTGCCAATATTCAATATGCCGTTCAACTTCCCTGTTCTCATTACATAAGAAATTCCATTGTTACATGTCCTGCATTCAAAGCTGCCGGAGTTTGAAGTTGACAAAGCTGTAGAGGCTTTAGTACCAGATGTCTTACTTTTGACTTGAATTAAAATCCCTTAGCTATCTAGTCACAGTTACTTTCATTCAAATTTATATGGAAATTGAAACAGTTCTGAAGAAAAGCCTTTGAATTCTGCTTCAATAATGTTGGTGTAGTTGAACAGAGTCCTGATGGAATGTCCTGCAGTCTCTCCCCTACAGAGACCAACACAATGAATGGCATTTTGTCCGACTTTCTAAACTTACTTGAAGTCTTTTTTATCTTTTAATAATATTCCGTGGCATGTCAGTACACCTCTAAAATCCTTTGCTGATGTTATCATCATCAATGGCAAGTCAGGCACCTGTCTCTCCGGGCAAGGGCTCATCCCCGTGTGACATTGTCTATCACTTTGGCGCGTTTCCTGTCTTACACCCTCACGTCAGTTTGTTGCCTCTGGTCCATCTCTGGTGAGAGCACAGCTGCCAAAGCCTTACATTTACTCCAATCCACCAGCTGCAGACGTCACCTGGCAGGCTGTCGTCGCTTCCAAAATGGCTTTTGACCTATGACCAGAAAAAAAATTGTCAAGGACATATACTTTGTGATATTTGTAAGAAGTGAGAGATTCATTTTAAAGGTATTTTGAGATGCAACATGGTATCATCAGAAGGTTTTTTTTATTTGAATGGATTTAATAGCACTGAAACCGACACTTATTCAATGTCAAGAAAATATTACATTTCATCCTGCATCATTCTTTTCATCTATCTGTTCATCTTTGACCTACAGATGTTAGCCTTTAATGGCAACAAGCAAGAAGTATTGATATCTCTGTAAAAGGACGAAAAATATAGCTTTTAGTGACCTTATGACCTTTCATTGAAATATACCATTAGACCAAACATGGGAGAGATATATACCCTCCCATGTTTGGCAATCGGCAGCAGACACCGCGCTGACTGGAGGCCCAGGCTGTGCTGCTGGAGGGAAGAGAGGCAGAGAGAGAGGAGAACCAGGACTGCGCGGGGCAAACTGTCTGACCCTGCTCCAGAAATATGAGAGGTTTTCTAAAGGGACTCTGGTGCTCAGAAACACTACCGCTTTTGTACACAGGGATGACAAAATCAACACAAAACTTTAAGATCATAAAAAATAATCTTAACCTTGAACTTGATCCTGAGTTACTAATCTAAAGCAAATTACACACGGCGTTCAAATAAGCGTGTAAACTTGTCAAACAGAACTGAAAATACAACATTTTGCTGGGGGGAGGGTTGGCTGCGGCTCCGGAAGACGGGCCTTCAGTTAGCATTCAGCTAACGGTAAAGGAAGGAGGAGACTCACTTTGGATTTTAGTCCAGTAAACAAACTATCAAAATGTACAGAGACTTTGTTTGATAACTGATTGTACATTTGAATTGTATGGATCCAGTAAAAGAGGTGAAATGCTGCCCCTTATTTCTTTGCAGCAGGTGGCCAGATGTTACACATTGCACCTTTTAAAGACAGAGAAAACTGCTATTTTACAGGTAACTGGCAGTTTATTTTACTTTGAATAACACTGACCAAATATTGATATAAATGAAAATGAAAACTGGTGGAAGAGAATAATCTCTTTGCTTTATTGGCACAATTTAATGAACTAGGCAGTGAGTAGAAAAACAAAGAGCAAGTCTACCCATGCTCTGATAAGATTAGCAAAGCAGCCAGGGATGGAGCTGAGAGTGGCCACAGATTTTCAGGGTGAAAGTGAGCAGATTTCCAAAACAGTCCCAGTAGATGCCGCTATTTATAAGGAGAAATGAACCATTACTGTATCTAATTTGTGGCAAATTGATCCCGGAGACTCAGGCTGTCATCCATCCCCCTGCTTGTGTGTTTAGACTCCGATTTATACTTTGTCAGAGGGGACTGGAGCTGGGAGGACAAATGTGTCAGCTCACCGCCTCTCCGAGGGCCCTGTCACAGAAGAGCTATGACGGCGAAGAAGCCAGCCGAGGAAGGATTCACTCAGGTTTTTTGGCGACAGGAAGCTCCGCAGACCGACGTCACAGAGGGAGCCAATCTCCAGGTGCGACGTAATGGATATGATACAGTGAAGCAGGGCATGACATGGGTAATTTGTTGGAAAGGTCACTCACTGGTCGACAAATAGGAAACACGCAGAAAAACATTTTACAAATTGATGTCAAAGTCTCTTCTAAAAATGGGGTCACTCATTTTACACATGGCCGACCAGAGCAGGACTCCACTTGTTGATAGCCTTTCTGACTTGTTAGCGAGGTTTCACCTAAATACACCAGTCTGCAGTTGATGCGGTTTCTGAACATGGGCAGGGATGCGGTTAATACTTTTTCAAGTCATCAGAGATTAAGTGTCACACACCCAGTATGCCCTGCTGATGATTTGTGTGCATAATATAGCTTTACACTTTGACTTTGATGAACGGACATGTGACAAATTAAAGAAAAGGAACTGAATGAAAGAGTCGGGAAACATATTATTTGCACACAAGGGGTCGATGAATGGGTTGATGAGTTTGAAAATAATGTGAATCCTATGTTGTGGCCTTCACAGTCACCATGTATCTACCCAATCGAATGCCTATGGAAGATTTGTACTGCTTTCAGCAAACATCAAAACACTGAATGAGGAAGTATTTTTTGATGTGTTCTTCTCTTCAGAAAAGGTTGATTAAATGGACAGGGTGTAGAGGAGGGCGGGTTAATAATGGTGTTTATACTCAGGCCTTTTCTGAATGTTGAAGATGACATTAAGATAAAGCAAACAATCTGAATAAGAAAAGAAAGAAAGCTGGAAACATTTAGGATGGACATTTAAGTAGAGTGCACCAAATAGTACAAGAAGAAGACACACTATAAATCAGTTCATTCTCCATTCAAACATGTTTCTAGCTATTAAAAAAAAAAAAAAAAAAAAAACAGGACAAAAAGGCCTGACTGAGAAAGTACAATTTCCTGCCAAGCTTGGAGCTTTGCTTGCATGTAGGCGTACAGACTGCAGTGTGGACACATTTTGTGATTACAACAGGTGAAAGGATGAGAAATAAAAGATGTAGAATAAATGGTAAATGTTTAATGAAAGCATTTATTAGACCTGGGGAGTCCCACAGAACTACAACTGTTAACCATCTGTAGTAATATTACTGACTATACCACTGCTACTTCATGTACTACTACCACCACCACTGACCACACAAGTAGTCATGTACAAATCAAGGGCAGACTTTGAGGTTAAACACCAGTGTGTGTGTGTTTTTTGTCACGACACGATGTTCTTCAGATATGTTCATAAATGTATGCATGAAAGTTCAGTGTTTCAACTGGTAAAGCATAGCTTTATCCCCATCTAGTGGTAGAAATCAGTTGATGCAAGTGGTTTTTTGTTTGTTTGTTTTTTTAACAGAATGAGAATCGGCTTTATTGGCGAGGTATGAGAAGATACCAGGAATCGTACTCTGGTCTTTGTGGCTCTAATAATACAGATAAATAGAAACATAGCTAGGACAACAAACATGAACAAGACTAAACATAAACATTTAGCTGTTATGTACAAATTAGAGTAACTTAGAGTAGTAGTAGTTGTACACATATTGGATTCATTCTAAATTGCCATTGCACTGTTTTTGTGTTTATGTGAAGCACCTTGTAAACGTTTTTGCTTAAAAAAAATGATAAATAAAGAATATAATGAAATATGCGTTATTAAAACTATTATTATTGTTATTATTATCATTATTATATACTTTATTTATATTTTAAAGTTTACAAAGTGCTTCACACAACCACAGAAGGTACATTTATGAGAAAATACATTTGCAATCACAAATTGGTGTAAACAGTCCAAATATTGACAATTTAAAAGCCAGTTTATAAAAATGAGTCTTTGATCGCAAGCAGCTTAAAGGGGAGGAGCTTGTCTGCGCAGTTTGAAGAGCAGTGTGACAGCAGAGCCGTCGGGATGGCGGTGGAGTGGGCATCACACATCGTGTACAAGTTATAAACTAGATGAAAACTGGACCTGTGATGGGCGAAAAGTGACTCCGATCAACAACTTTTTTGTTTTGTTTCCCCCCCCCCTCAAAGTCATGCGCCTGTTGATCGGTCTGCTATCTGCGCTGATTTCATGCGGGAATGGGAAAGCGACTGGAGAGTCCACTCCGACCGGACAGCCTCTGCATATCAATGACGGGAACTCTTCTAACCGGGATCACATGAGACAAGAGCCCTTTCAGCACCGACAACAAGCGCTCGATGCCTTGTCAGGTTTGTGTGGCCTTCACTGTATCAATAGTCAGAGCTATCATTATAGGCCTGTAAATGTGCTTCATATCTTTAACGCAAGCTGAAAATAAATCACATTGTAGCAGGAGAATATTCGTATTAATTTGACTTTGTTATTATTATTATTTTTACTCCATCAACCATCATAGTACAGATCTTTCTCTCACAGATTAAAGACTCCCATGTCCTCGTTTGGTCGGACCATCTGTATCTAAATCTACTGATCACTTCATGAGTAATGTGATGATGGAGCTGCTGTCACCTCATGAGTAACGGTTTCTCCCATCTGTCCCTTGTTGTTGTTTTTTTACTGCATCCCCACCACTAAGACAGCAATTAATCAGTTCATAAGAGCATTATTCATACATTATAACGACAGTTAGCCTTGTAAAGGAGATTGCCATAATATTCATAAAAGTAAAAAATAAATAAAAAAGATGTCAGCATTACTTGTCTATTAATACAAAGTGTTTTAATCATGTGTTTGGATGCTCAGCTCAGAGGGCCCTTAATATCATACCACTCTGCATTATCATGTCATTCAAATCAAGTGTTTACAGAAGAGCACACTCCTTCTTCTTTGTGCCAAGTGGCTATAAATCTAAATGGTTAAATCTAAAGTGCGTCTCACTGCCTCACTCTCTCACACACACACACACACACACAGATGCATGTGCTTGTCATGGCAATGTTCTTGTTCACAGCCGAGCGGCGGAGAGGAGCTGAAAGAGGGATTTGTGACCCTTTTCATCAACTGATTCATGACTAATTCATGCCGCTGTGGGAGTACATTACCATCCATCACCACATGATCCACGGGTCGGCTTCGTCGGCCGAAAACACTTAGAAATGCACCCAAGCATGCTGTTGTCACTTGCACCCTCCCGGACTCCCCCCGCCCCCCTCAGTGCGTTGTGTCGTGCCAAGCCTTCTCCTCTTAGCCTCCCTCCTCTACAGAGTTAGCTCTCTGTAGAAGGGCTGCCCACTCTCCGCTTCTACTTTTAAATAAGAAGAGAGAATGTAGATAAACAAATGTACAAAAAAAAACACTCCTTTTGACACCTATTAGGAGATTCATTGTTGCCCCTACATGATGGGCAAACAGATTTAAAGATTTAATCATCCACCCCAGGGGAGGATTGCAGTTATTTGACAACAGTACTGGTGGTTGTTCGGACATTAAGTCTTTGTGCCCCCCCCCCCCTTCACCCTAAGCATCTTTTCACTTCAATCCGTGTCAGTTCAATTTGATATTGCTGACTCGTGCCTGAGGGCGATTTGGCCCACATATGAAAGGGTGCACTTGTGTTTTCCTCCATCGGTGGAATGTATGGCCTAATTCCAACACACGCACACAAACAAGCATGTTTGGGGGGGGGGGGGGGGGCAGCAGAGCTAAGTCCCTGTTGGACCATCTGTTTGTGCTGCCTGGTGGTCTCACGGAATTGACCAGTCAACATGTTTGTGCCTTTTGCTTGATATGCAAACATGGTGTTTTTCTATAATTATAGCTTGTCATTCAAATTTTTTGCCACATTCACAATTTAGTCTTTGAACAGTGGAAATATCTTCCTTGCGCTATGAATGAAAATGTCTTTTAAAAAATTCACAGGTTGATAAAGAAATGGTTTGAAAACACTTCACTTGGGTAAATGCATTAGTTTTATTGGACACCGGGGCTGTCATGTGCTCGGGAACAACAGTATTCAAGCAATATCACACACACAACGTGGCATCTATTTCTCATCTGCCTCGGCGGCTCAGACGGCCCATTTCAATCCACTTCATAAACCTCTTTGTGCCATGGCTCAGTGCGCCAAGTGCGTAGATTATAGTAATCTGGCATGAAACACCTCCACTTCAGATCTAGTGACCCCCTTCTGTTATGTTTGGCCACAAGCAGAGCACACATAAAGCGGACGCTGCCTCTCCCGTAACAAGCATCCTCTTGTCCATCTGCACTGGTGTATGTATCCCAGTGGGTTGACAGTAACACTGCCAAATGTAGTGTTTCATAGTGAGGATGAAAATACAGGCACTGCTATGGAAGCCCATTTCTGCCACTGTGATGACAAAAAAAAGGTCTGTAAAAAATGCAAAATAATGACTTCAATGGTCTTCCATATCCACCAAAGCAACAGAAGGAAGTGCAAGTCAATATATTCCCATTATTTTGAGATATTAAGTATTTCTTGTGAGCTTCTAAGTCATTATGTTGTGATACTAAGTCATTTTTGTGAGATGCACAGTGATTCATTTGAGATAATAAGTCGTTATTTTGAGTACGTACTTATTATTTTTTGAGATACTAAGTCGGAACATTAAGATACTAACTCATAACTTTGTGATACTAAGTCAAACTATTCAGATAGTTTCTCATTATTTTTCACATACTATTATTTTGAGATGCTTAGTCTGTATTTTTTTGATACTAACTCATTATTTTGAGATGCTAAATCAATGACCTACGGGAGTTTTTATCTAAATTTTTTATCCTAGTGGCTGAAATGGGCTTCCATACTCCTGGCAGCTACACACACAACAGTGCATGATTTGGTTTATTTTAACCCAAAAGATGATCTTTTTCTAAACCTATCCAAATAGGTTTGTTGCTGAAACCAAAGGAGATTTCTGGCAGAAAGGATGCCAACTCCTCCCATGTGCGGTAGCTCCTGGCATTTGTCTGCTCATTATCAAAGGGAATTGTTTGAGGCAATGATATGGGACGATCTGGTTATCTGGTTTTGGCACCTGCTGAAATATTGTTGAAAGCTGGTAACATAAGGCATGGCTTTGTGAGTTTTCAGTAAAGCTCTGGCAAATAATTTAGCAGCAGGATTATGAGCAATAAGACCAGCATCAGTGTCGAATTGCCACCATTAGAGAAATATTTTTTGACATTATGACCCGGTAGGATTGCTGCTGTAGCGATGTTGCAGCATTTAGCTACTAATAAAAAGGGCAGTAAGGACATTTTATGGCCTGTTAGCATTAAATAACTATGATAGTGTAGCTGTGGAGGGTTGATGATGAGCTGGGCTGCTGAGATTTATGGCTCCCAAAACTCTCTGTCTCTTTCTGGTCCAGACGGCATAAGGACAGTCACTTCAGTGGAGAAAATTTATAGCAGGGTAAAATGTGAAGGAAGATTCCTTGGGCGCTGGCCAGTCCTAGCAGACTTTTACAGCTCTACAAAGTAGGTACTGTTGGTACTGAGAAGTTTCTTTGAAGTACTGTTCATGGATTCATCTCTAGTTGTTGGGGCTCAGATTTGTACAGGTCCATGCCATCATACATTTTTGTTTCTGGTCACAAATGTGCTTTTTTAACCCACTGCTATGCCACCTTTACAGCTGAATGACTGCAGGTGTTCAATACAACCCATCAGAAAACACACTGCCTATCATTGAAAGTGATTGTTAATGTTGTGTTTATTTTGGGGTTCCCTCCACAAGCACCACATTCCTTTTAGAAAACCTAATTTTACTGCAGCGGGTGTCTGACAGTCTGCTACACGCAGTCCTGGTTCTGGTTCTCCCGTGACTCCCTTCCCTCCAGCAGGCCCAGCAATACGGCCTGGGCCTCCAGCAGCACAGTGTCGATGTTAGCTCCCAGGGGCGACCGATGGAGCAGCGAGGCAAAGCTCTGCTCCTGGCTGGAGGAGGGTGCTGAACTCTCCTCCGGCAGCTAACCCCGATCTGGGTCGGTCCAGGGCAGGCTGTTTGCTTCCGGAGGCCCCGCTAAAGTCTGAGCTGAACCTCTTTCTTGTGAACCTGCATGATTTTATCTGATCTCTTTACACTATGTCACCTGTCCTGAGTTAAAGTGAGTTATATGCAATTTACAGTGCATTCGTTTTCATAGGTATAGCTACGAACAGTGTATGAAAACAGCCTGCAAGCATTGATCCTTGGTGAGATATTTGTCTTTCAATCACCACCATTTATTCATATGGGCAACTGATGTATCACTTCATTGTTATGTAACAGAACATTATACGTCTATGAAACAACAAGTCTTGTTGTCTTGTTGACTCACTATTGGGTATCGGTGTGCAGTGTGAAAGTGGCTAAATGGTATTCTCTACGAGCTACCTGCAAATATGTAACAATTAGAGCCTTTTCCTGAATCACATTATTGGAAATGTGCACTGTATTTAGCTGTCTGCATGCTGATGCAGCATAATGTTGTCTTGAATGCACGCTTTGCTGAACTAATTGGCCAATTTTACCATTTGTATTTGTGTCCACCTCTATAAAATCTCCTGGGATTAATTGATTGATATCCTCCAGGGATTCTACAAATTACTTTTATTAACGTGCTGTCAATAAGGTCCCTTCTAGGTTAATTGGAAACATAGGTAACCCCATTCTGTTAAAGCATACGGTTGTACTGCATGAAAACATAACAAACACCTTACAATTACTTTTAATGCAGTCCCGTCTACAACAAGTACTGCCTTGGGGCAGCTTATAATACATTTCGCTGACAGTTTGTCAGAGGTGGAATTTTTGAGACTGCAATTTGTGGTGTTTTAGTGGTTTACATTCTGACCATCCCTCGTAGATAATGTGTGAATCTGAACTTGTATGAATTATTTCATCCTTCTAAAAGCAGTACTATTTGCCATCCCAAATGCATCTTTGTCTTTTAACCCAATCTTTATTTTTTTTACCCAGATTCTGCTTTTGACCTAAAGGTCCAGGTTAACAGCGTGCTGAGTCGTCAGTACATGACCCAGGCGGTGGTGGAGGTCTACATCAACTACACCATTACCAACACAGCTCTTACTGGGGAGGACGGCGGTGTTTTGCTCCATGTACCTTACCAGACTGGGATGCCAATCACAATTGTGGCCAGCAAGGACGGCTACATTTGCACACTGCTGCCTTGTAAAACCAACAGAATGCCAAGTAAGATATTTAAAGTGTGGTTGTGCTCAATGTGAAAAGTGTTTAGCTGAATCAGATAATGAGCTTTATGCAGTGTCATTTTCTTTTATTCATCATTGGCTCTTACGATTATGGAAATATCAGTGAGCACATGTTGACTGTTTTTAGTATGGCTGAAAGTTGTCCACTGAGTGGCTCCACTTTATTAGGATAGTTTCTCTCTCCTCTTGGCAGTTCAGAAATCTGCTGTCCCATATGGCTCTGCCTGTTGAGGTGGGATTTTTTTACACACAAAGTCACATCATGTGGATCTGTATTCACAATCTGCACTGAAGGATAGATAGCAGGCTTTTTCTTAAATCGGGATTTTTACATGACAGTGTCATGTAAAAATATAATCACAGAAAACATGCGCTTCAAATACTTCAGTGATTTTCTAAAGTGGTTGTTATTGCAGGGCCAAATTTTGTTTCACCCCACTGCATTTGACACCCAATTAGGTGCAGCACCCAGGCAGATCTCTTTGAGAACATTTAATAATCCACGTCTGGAGTGTGTGCCTCCGACTGTCTCTGTTGATCATCTGCCATCTGCAGTGGGGAGCGTGTCTATGTTCATTCAACCCTATATTTTTTCAGCCCTAGGTTCCCTCAGATCAGTACATCCACCGGTGCTATGGTTCTGATGGTCCATTATTATTAGGCTTGCCCCCTTACAGAGATATGCATTTCTATAGAAAGTGAAGCGCTGCCTCTTGAAACCTGAGCTATTATTTATTAGTTTAGATAAGCCCTTGTTAGAAAAGGGAACTCACCCACTTCTTGCCTCTGTGCAGAGGTTGATATAAAACAATGTCACACTGCCATCTAGTGGAAAGACTGCAAGTTTTTAAAGGAAGTACTTTTTTACTAATTTTACATCTTGTCTTCCCTCTTTTATCATTGCTCTAGTATTTTCGTCTGTGACCATGTCACTATTTGGTCTGAATCAGGGGAACATCTGGCTCTTCGATGATTCTGTCCTTATCACTGGCAAAACATCTGGTACTGTATATATTGTTAAATCCACTTTTTTCTTTTTTTCCTTGCTCATGTTCTCTATGTCTCACTTTGATTGTCAGCACAAGCATTGATTAAAAAAACACATTATACTATCCAAAAATAGCACCACTAATGGAAAAATACGTATATTTTATGAACACATATTTCCACCTGTTATTTATCATGTTCTCCTTTATTTGCAGATGCTGCATCACAGCCTATTGTCCAGTTTCCCAAGAGCCTGCTGAATCTGACAGACAGCAGTAATGCCACCTCTGTTAAAGCGTACCTGACCATCCCCAAGCTGCCGTCAAAGGAGGACAGCTTTCTTCATACGTTGGGCATCATGAGCAGTAAATCTGGTATACAGTGACAGTATTAATTGATAATAACACAAAAGACAATATGTCAATTACATACAAATTTTAACCATGACTGTCTCATTTTTTTGCATTAAAAAAACAACCAAACATTTTCCAATATGAGGCTGTATTAAATGGATTCAAATTGTAACAATGTTACAATGGAACCATTCAATCAAAGGGTTTATTCAAGATAATTCCATATGTTTCATTGGTCTAGTCCACGTATTCTCTTAAGCTTTACCTCCTCTGGTTTTCAAGGATACGTCAGTGTGGAGTTGAGTCCGGTTGCGGCTGTCAGTGTGCAGCTTTTCTCAGGAGACACGGAGCTGCATGTGAGTGGGCCCATACAGATCAGCCTCAGCATTCCAGACAGCTGTGGGCTTCAGACTTCCAATGTTGTTCCAGCATGGTTCCTTAACCGGACCACTGGTGAGTAGATGTCACAGTCACACACACTAAAATCTAGCCTTTTTTGATTTTAGAAGAGTCGGGAAAGTGAGGATGATTTCATGGACTCTACAGGGAATTGTAATTTAAAGCAACAGTTGGTAAAAAAATAACTTTGTGCCGTATTTGCTCAAACTGGTCTTACAGGATTGTGGTAGTTGTGGAAAAATTGTTTGTTGTACAAACAGTGCTGTTGTGTTGTCTTGTTTGTTTTTCCTATAGGTGGATGGATGAGAAAGGGGCTCGGGACGGTGGTGGTGTCAGTAGACGGAAAACTCATGTGGACATTCACAGCACCTCACCTTGGTTACTGGATTGCAGCACCTTTGTCATCCACCAGAGGCAAGTTCTCACCCTAAATTTGTTCATCTAATGTAATACAGTGTTCTATATTTTCTGACACTACCAACCTGGGCATGTTCCATGGTCACAGGGCAATGTTGTGGTAGTAAATAAAATGTGTCAGATGGAAATTATTTAATGACAAGCATTGATTCTCTGATAGTTGTCATAACGGTTCTGTATAATGGAGTTGCTCTGATTGTGGCAACTTATTTTTTCCAACAAAAAAACCCCCAATGACTATAAGACATTTGATTTTGATTTTTTTTTAAGAGAAAAAATTGGACTGGAACTGGCGTAGGTCAGTGGAAAAAAAAGCTAAATATGTATTTAATGGACTTTGTAAAATTTTTGGATACAACATGCACCATGTTAATTTTTATCTTTATTGCATTTATATTTCATCCAAACCTCTTCTTCTGACCATCTATATGCTTTAGGTTTCTTCAGACTTGCCATCCCCTTTGACTTCATCTCACACCATTCATCTCTCCTGATGGTTGTCCTTGGAGGAATGCTTGTTATTGTCACCTGTCTCCTGGTTGGGTTGTTGTTTTATCGCAGGTAAAAGAGGCTTCCATCTCATACTTGTCCGTACAGTATTTATTATAAGTTGTGGTGATGTTAATGAGCATTTTATCAGTTTCAGAGGAGTGTTCCTTTAAAAGCACTTTGATATCAGTAAAATCCATTATTCTTCCAAGTTTAATGCTAAAATCTGTATTTTTCACCGCGTTCTCATAGTGTATGCCACGTATACATTTTATTTTTCTGTCTACAGACGTTCACTCAGTGAAACTAAAACAAAGATCCTACCAGCGATGAGAAAAGACCAAACCACCTCAACATGTGAGGGTGAAGACTTTGAAGTATCTTCAGTGGATTCCTTTCATCTACAGGGTGGAATGAACCATTCATTCGCAGAAAGGGGGGATAATCGGCACAACGCCACTGTTATTTCTATGCACAACGCCGATGTGATAGCCAACCCCAACGCTGTGGCCATCAGGGTGGAGCGTAACGAACCGGAGCGAAACACTGCACTGAATGATCTGATGTGTTTGCACGAAACCACAGATCAGATCAGAGCTCCGGACTCACTGACGGATAATTTGTTTTTCTACAACCAACCTGTTGCCATTTTTCACGCTCCAGCATTCTTCCACTTGGAGGAGCAGCCGGAGCATCCTCAGTGGAGCAAGTCGGCCACTCTTCCCCGCGCGGGGTCCGCAGCTGAGCCGCCGAGTCAAGACAGCTTTACGCAGGCTCTGCCAAAAGGTCCATCTGCCAACCAGAACCAGGCAGCGGAAAATGAGGACCAGCTCAGGGTTCTAGAGAGCTCTCTGGCTGAAACTTCACCCAACACATCCAGGGGTCACTTCAGCCTCACGGAGTCAGCGTCGGTCCCAGGGACATTGAATAAAATCAGGGCCAGTGGCAGACACTCCGTTCATGCCTTGGCAGAACTTTCTAAAATCCCCTCAACTCAGCCTCCTCGAGCCTGGTTTGTATCACTGGAGGGCAAACCCGCAGCTGAGATCCATTACGCAGTGTCAGAGCAGCAGAGGCGGCGAAGGCCAGTCGAGAGTCGAGAAACCAGCTTAGACTCGGGCGTGGACATGAGTGAACTGAACCAGACACCTGGAAGGAGGGCCGTAACGCTGGAGCGCAAAGCCACTTTTGTCAAAAGCAATAAACCTGCATCTCCACAGTAAAAGCCCTGAACACCTCCATGCCTATATAGTCCTCTGAGTTTGTATAAACAGCATCGGTTCTATCTGTGACTAATTTACCTTCTTGCTGCTTCATGTTTTACATCGATGTTAAGGTGCCAATCCAAGTTGTGTTTAGAGGCCCATTTCTACCATCGGATTTCACGCGGTCTGTGTTGCAACTGTTGCGCATGTACGAAAGTGTGAACAGTCCAAAGCAGAGCATGTGGATTTAGCAGTTGTTTTCTAACAGCCTCTCCTGCCTCAAACAGAAGGTTTTAACAAGAAACAGAACATTTTGCAAAGTGTCAGATATCATTTCATACTGTTAAGTTGCATAGTTGCAGTTGCCCTATTTGTCTGCCTCCAACGTGTCAAAGACAGCAACGTGATTGAGATAAATGAGGTCAAACACTTCCATAATGACCACTCTTACATTTTTATTCCTCCCAGATTAACAGACCGACTACCATGGCTGACTGAACATGACTAAGTGTTTGTTAGTTTAACTATGCCACCTGATTTGTCTTTGTGCATATTTGTTTGTGCATGTTTTTTTTTATATATATTGTCATGAAGTGAATCATTTTCATAATATTTTAACAATAAAATAAAAATTAACTTGGTGAAGCCAATTAATTTGACATGATTCTAACTCCTATTAAGGAATGATAAGGCATTCATTTGAATTGAAGGACCCTTTAATGACTTTAATATCTGCACACACGTTCTGGATGCTCTGCAGCTCTTTTTCAGCAGGTACAATTGTGTGAAAAAGTGTTTGCCCCCTTCCTGATTTCTTATTTTTTTGCATGTTTGTCACACTTAAATGTTTCAGATCATCAAACAAATTTAAATATTAGACAAAGATAGCACAAGTAAACACCAAATGCAGTTTTTAAATGAAGGTTTTTATTATTAAGGGGGAAAAACAATCCAAACCTACATGGCCCTGTGTGAAAAAGTGATTGCCCCCCCCCCCTGTTAAAACATAAATTAACTGTGGTTTATCACATCTTTGGAAAGCTGAATTTCTCAATTTCTCTAGCCACACCCAGGCCTGATTACTGCCACACCTGTTCTCAATCAAGAAATCACTTAAATAGGACCTGCCTGACAAAGTGAGGTAGACCAAAAGATCCTCAAAAGCTAGACATCATGCTGCGATCCAAAGAAATTCAGGAACAAATGAGAAACAAAGTAATTGAGATCTATCAGTCTGGAAAAGGTTACAAAGCCATTTCTAAAGCTTTGGGACTCCAGCAAACCACAGTGAGAGCCATTATCCACAAATGGTGAAAACATGGAACAGTGGTGAACCTTCCCAGGAGTGGCCGGCCGACCAAAATTACCCCAAGAGCGCAGCGACGACTCATCCAAGAGGTCACAAAAGACCCCAGAACAACATCCAAAGAACTGCAGGCCTCACTTGCCTCAATTAAGGTCAGTGTTCATGACTCCACCATAAGAAAGAGACTGGGTAAAAATGGCCTGCATGGCAGAGTTCCAAGACGAAAACCAAAGGCTCGTCTCAGTTTTGCCAGAAAACATCTTGATGATCCCCAAGACTTTTGGGAAAATACTCTGTGGACTGACGAGACAAAAGTTGAACTTTTTGGAAGGTGTATGTCCCATTACATCTGGCGTAAAAGTAACACGGCATTTCAGAAAAGGAACATCATATCAACAGTAAAATATGGTGGTGGTAGTGTGATGGTCTGGGGCTGTTTTGCTGCTTCAGGACCTGGAAGACTTGCTGTGGTAAATGGAACCATGAATTCTGCTGTCTACCAAAAAATCCTGAAGGAGAATGTCCGGCGATCTGTTCGTGACCTCAAGCTGAAGCGCACTTGGGTTCTGCAGCAGGACAATGATCCAAAACACACTAGCAAGTCCACCTCTGAATGGCTTAAGAAAAACAAAATGAAGACTTTGGAGTGGCCTAGTCAAAGTCCCGACCTGAATCCGATTGAGATGCTGTGGCATGACCTTAAAAAGGCGGTTCATGCTCGAAAACCCTCCAATGTGGCTGAATTACAACAATTCTGCAAAGATGAGTGGGCCAAAATTCCTCTACAGCGCTGTAAAAGACTCATTGCCAGTTATCGCAAACGCTTGATTGCAGTTGTTGCTGCTAAGGGTGGCCCAACCAGTTATTAGGTTTAGGGGGCAATCACTTTTTCACACAGGGCCATGTAGGTTTGGATTTTTTTTCCCCCTTAATAATAAAAACCTTCATTTAAAAACTGCATTTTGTGTTTACTTGTGTTATCTTTGTCTAATATTTAAATTTGTTTGATGATCTGAAACATTTAAGTGTGACAAACATGCAAACAAATAACAAATCAGGAAGGGGGCAAACACTTTTTCACACAACTGTAAGTGGTTGAATTGTTTAGTGGTAGAATTAAAAAAAAAAAAAAAAACAGGTCGTGCTGTAGTGGTGCTGGCCTTTTTCACATGGCAGCTAGAAGCAGTGACAACTAACCCACCACAGTAATCTCACTAAGATAGAGAACAACGAATGATCTCTTAAAAGAAAAGGCCTCTGTGTCCCAGAACAACACAGACAGCACAAGAGCACAGAAAACCCCCTCACACGAGATATTAGTAACATCAGCATGTACCGTATGATGACTCTGCTTTCTGCCAGCTCACTATGCCATCATGTCTGATGTTATTACTGAAATCATTTATTTTACAATGTATATAGGCAAAGCTTGATTGTTGCAGAATTATGTCATTATATAAACATTATTTTCCAGCTGCAATGTTCTTGATTTTCTTTTCTCTGAAAAATGATCGATGTGATTAAATAATATATATTCCATCCTAAACCTGTATTAGGCCTGATTTATCAGCTGTATCTGAGACACGCATTGTATAGACACAATAGTAAACACATGTAAAGCACATGTATGCGATGTGGTCCTGTTTGATACCAGGATATTGTTTATAGAAGATTACAGACTAATGACATTTATTGGGTAGTTCGGCCATGAACAAGGGAACAAGTGAGTTTTGATGAGATAGCACCACCGTGTGGCCATTTATAAAGCACTTCATATTTTGGCTGATAACTCCTAATATGAGGTCTAAAATCAAACTGCATTTCTTGGTAAATAAAGAATCTGCCAAATACATTTTTTTTTTGATGGTTCATATTTTATAGCATCTTTCAGATTATCCTGATGGCTTAAGCAGCACTTTATTTACAATAAGACAATATATATTTCTAATACAAGTTTTTAGATATTTCTAAGAACCAGTTGAAGACTTATCAGGGGCCATGATTGTTAAATAGAAAGTCATGAATACAAGGGAGGACTTGGAATGAATGTCCACTTTGCTCCGTGTAGAGATAGATCTGTATAAAGCACATGCAGTCATGGTCACATTCACCTGTTGAGGGAGATAAAAAGTTTACCCCCTCTTCCTGCCCTCTGTGCATCTTTATGTACCTGCTACCTCCACATTACCATCAATAACACAACACAATTATTTTGCATAGATGTTTTTTAAATGTAACTTATATGTATATGATTAAGGAATAAAGATGAAGATGTTGCTTGTACATGAGTTCATAGAGTGCCATTGAACTTATACAAGCTACAGACTAAAAGACTTCCCTTTGTTACCATGTTATTTAATGTAACAAGTTAATTAAGAGTGAAGGTTAAATAGTGATTAAAATATGTTAGCAGTCCAAACCAACAGCTTGCACATCACATGTAATTCATAAGGAGAGTTCTGGCTGATTAGATTACAAAATTATACAATATTATTATTGTAATAATTATTATATGATCATTCAGACACATGAATATAAAAAAGACATTCACATTTATATTCTACATAATTATTGCAGGGACATGCAGCAGATATTAATATCCATATCTAATAATATACAGACTGTAAGAACTGTTACGTCCCTGTTCGGTTGGTCCAGGGAAGGAGTAGGGACGAACACAAAACAACCCAAATGAAAAACAAATAGCCCATGTACCATAAACAATATTAATTATGCTCACGTACAGTTATAGGTGAGTGAGTCTTAACACAGGATTGGGAGAGGATGGGACAGGTGTGGTCGTGCCAAACAATTGAAACCAATATAACAGAACTTGGCCTAACTAACTAACCTCTGAAATCAAACAAACAAAATGGCTTCTCTAGCTTATCTAAATGTGCTTGACCAAAACCCAAATACAGATGAGGCACCGACCAATAAGCCTAGTGTATCTAGACACAGAAAATATATTACGTGTGTGCCAATGTACAGGGTAAGGCATAACTTATACTGTTCGCAACCTCTCACCACAAACCCTAACAAGTTGAGAGCTCTCAGCATTGACAGAAAAACAGTGTGGAGTGAAGTGCCCCTGAACTCCGAGGCTTCCTGCTTTTTATCTGCGGCTCTCCCTCTGCTGATTGGCCAGCCTGCAGCTGGTGCCATCCACAGAGCAGCCCGACCGGCCCCCACAGGTGGAATCCAATCACCTGATTGACCTGTTAGGAATATGTGCGAGAGAGTGAGAGAGAAGGAGAAGGGCAGGAGGGGAGAAAACACAACACGTAACATGATAATTCACCATTTGCATTTTTAGACATTTCAGAAAAACTTGTCGTACCAAAAATAAGGGTTTTAATTTAAGCAATGAACTTTCATGATATCTGTCAGTTACACTTTTAACCCTATTCACTAATGATTTATTTTGTTCAGACTCTGAAATCTCCACTTCAGAAGCACTTACATACACCGAACATCCCAGTTTCATTTTTGCCGAAAAACAGAGAATTTTCTTTCTTTTTTATGGCTGTGAAAAAAAACAGTGACTCTAATATATAAGCAAAATAAAACAATAATTTAAACCTGGTTCAGATATATGATAAGATAATACTCCATTTGCATATCCAAACAATAATGTAATTAAAGTGATGGCCAAAAACTTAAGCCGTCAGTATAGTTTGAAAGATGCGAAACAATATCAACCACTTAGGATTACACACACTCTGTTTGGGCAGATTCATATCAAATTCAAATCCAGTTTGATTTTAGACCTCATCTTTTAGGAGTTATCAGCCAAAATATGAAGTGCTTTATAAATGGCCACACGGTGGTGCTATCCCATCAAAACTCAGCTCACAAGAACAACTGGATATCGGCTCACAAGAGGTGCAGCAAGAGGGGATTGCATCGTCCCACTCAGGACAAGTGCTTTCAGTCAGTCTGCATTTTCTGTACAAGCTGCACTAGACTGGAACTCCATCCCAGTGACCATTAGAGAACTACAGACATACAGTTCATTTAAAGCTCCTTTAAAGAAATGGTTAGTTAGTACCAGCTCTGTCAGCACTAGAATGTAACTGTACCTTACTGTCCTAAATCTGTCTGTGTTGAACTTCCCTCAATCTGTCTGTAGTCAACTGTCTGTCTGTCTTGAAATTGCCGGTCGACCCTCATCTACCTGCATGCATGTCTTTTATTGTTGTTTATTGTTGTCTGACCGATTCATATATTTACATACTTTTATGTTTGTGCCTCTGGAATGATGTTTTTTAGTGTCTAACAATACAGCAGAATATTGTCTTTAGTCCATGTTTCTATTTTAACATAGTTATCCCTCATTTTATTTGCTTTGTGTGTGTTGACTTTGTGAGCCTCTGTGTTGCATGTCTTATTAGTACTTGACAATGTAGTAGAAGAGTCTCCTGAATGATGATACGACTGATATTAATATTCTCAC